AGGAGGAGGGGAGGGGGCATCTTGGGAGCCTCTGAGGACACTCTTGGGGCCTCCTGGGAGCTTCCTGGGAGCCTGTTGGGCCTTTGGGGGCTTCTCGGGTGCCTCTTTGGCCGTCTTGGTGGGCTCCTGGCCCGTCTGACGCAGTCGGAAGCCGTCTTAGGGGCCTCTCTGGGCCTTCTTGTGGCCCTCTTGGGGTGCTCCAGGGCCGTCTTGGAGGCCATCTTGAGCGTCTTGGAGGCCTTTTGGGCCGTCTTGGGGTCCTCTTGGGCAGTTCTAGGGCCATATTGGGGACCTCTTGGGCGATCTTTGGGGGCTCTTGGGCCGTCTCGGGCCGTCGGAGGGTAGACAAAAAGCGCAAATGCCACAATCCTCCAGCAACCCTAAGGGAAATCAGAGAGTTTGGCCTTTTCGGGCCTTCCTGGGGGCCCTCTTGGAGGCCTCTTGGGCCGTCTTGGGCCATCTTAGGGCCATCTTCGGCCATCTTGGTGGGCTTCCGGCCCGTCTAACGCCGTGGGAAGCCGTCTGGGGGGCGTCTCTGGGCCGTCTTGTAGCCCTCTTGGGATGCTCCAGGGCCGTCTTGGAGGCCATCTTGGGCGTCTTGGAGGCCTCCTGGGCCGTCTTGGGGACCTCTTGGGGCCGTCTTGGGTGCCTCCTGGGCCGTTCTGGGGCCTTATTGGAGGCCTCTTGGGCGATCGGGCTCTTGGGCCGTCTCGGGCCGTCGGACGGCCGAAAAGAAGCAATTGTCAAAATACTTCAACAACCCTAGGGAACTCAATGATGTTCGCCTCTTCTGGCCGTCCTAGAGGCCCGTTTGGAGGCCTCTTGGGCCGTCTTGGGCCAGCTTAGAGCCAACTTCGGCCATCTTGGTGGGCTCCTGGCCCGTCTGACGCCGTCGGAAGCCGTCTTGGGGGCCTCTCTGGGCCGTCTTGTGGCCCTCTTGGGGTGCTGCAGGGCCGTCTTAGATGCCATTTTGGGCGTCTTGGATACCTCTAGGGTCGTCTTGGGGCATTCTTGGAGCCGTCTCGGGGGCGTCTTGGCCGTCATGGGGGCATCTTGGGGCTTCTTGGGCGATCTTGGGGCGATCTTGGGGTCCTCTTGGGCCGTCTTGGGTCGTCGGAAGGCCGAAAAGAAACAACTGCGAAAACCTTTCAAACACTTATGGAACATCATTGATTTTGGCTTATTCGGGCCTTCCTGGAGGACGTCTTGGAGGCATCTTGGGCTGTCTTGGAGGCATGTTGGGCGCCTCTTGGGTCACCTTCGGCTCTCTTGGGGATATTTCTGCCGTCTTGGATGCCATTGTGGTCGTCTTGGAGGTCATCTTGGCAGTCTTGAGGTATCTTGGAGACAATCTTGGCCGTTTTTGGATCCTCTTGGGCAGTCTTGGGGCCCTCTTGGGGCTGGCTTGAAGGCCTCTTGGGTCGTTCTAGAGCCACCTGGGAGGCCTCTGGGACTAGTTCGGGGACTCCTTGGGCCGTCTTAGGCGGTCGGAACACCAAAACCGAGGAAGAACACAAATCCTTCAAAAACCTAAGGACACTTGAAGATTTTGGCTTCTCTGGCCTTCCTGGAACACCTCTTGGACTCCTCTGGGGCAATCTTGGAACCTCTCGGGCCCATCTTGGGCCATCTTGGCCGTTTTAGCGGCCACCTTGGCCGTCTTGAAGCTCATCTTGACCGTGTTGGAAGCATCTTGGAGGCCATCTTGGCCGTCTTGGAGACCGTCTTGGGCGTCTTGGAGGTCTCTGGAGCCGTCTTGGCGCCCTCTTGGGGCCGTCTTGGGGGCCTCTTGGGCTGTCATAGGGGTATCTTGGAGGCCTCTTGGGCGCTCTGGGGGCGATCTTTCGGGCTCCTAGGGCCGTCGTGAGCCGTCGGAAGGCTCGAGAAGAACAAAAGCCAAAATCCTTCAAAAACCGATGAAACACATCGATATTGACCTCTTCGGGCTCGGAGGCCTCTTGGGCCGTCTCGGAGGCCTCTTGGAGGTCTCTGGGGCCGTCTTGGGCCGTCTGTGAGGTTTCGTGTGCGAACTTGGAAGCATCTTGGACTCTTCGGGGCCGTCTTGGAGGCCATCTTGGACCATCTTGGGCGAACCTGGAGGCCATCTTGGACCATCTTGGCCATCTTGGAAGTCATCTTGGAGCCGTCTGGAGCCGAAAAACCTTTGCAACCACCTGTTATGCATCTCTGGCGGGACGGGCCGAAACCCCAGGGGGAGTTCTTTCGGAAAAGAACCAACACCAAAAGCGAAAGGGTCTAGCACGCCGGGCCCCCCTGTGATGAATCAACAGAGGGCTGCAAATCGAAGACGCCTACGGCGAATCACCGCCGCCCCCTGCCCCTTTGGAAGCGCCTCTGTGGCCGACAGCTGGGCCAGAGCTTGGCCAAGCTATCGGGCCAGTTGTTCCCCGAGTCGGTTTGGAAAGACTTCGGGGAACGCGTGGGGGAACAGGAAGAGGAGGAGGGGGAGGATGAGGAAAACAGAGGAGGAGGAGGAGGAGGAGGAGGAGGAGGAGGAGGAGGAGGAGGAGGAGGAGAGGAGGAGGAGGAGGAGGAGAGGGGAGGGGGAGGGGGGAGGAGGGAGGAGGAGGAGGGAGGAGGAGGAGGGAGGAGGAGGAGGAGGAGGAGAGGGAGGAGGAGGAGGAGGGGGAGGAGGAGGAGGGGAGGAGGGAGGAGGAGGAGGAGGAGGAGGAGGAGGAGGAGGAGGAGGAGGAGGGAGGAGGAGGAGGGGATTCTTGGGCGCCTCTTGGGGCCTCCTTGGAGCTTCCTGGGGGCCTCTTGGAGGGTTTTTTGGGGGCACTCTTGGGGCCATCTTGGGCGTCTTGGAGGCCTCTTGGGCCGTTTTGGTGCCTTCTTGGGGCCGCCTTGGGGGCCTCTTGGGCCGTTCTGGGGCCATACTGGGGACGTCGTGGGCGATCTTGGGGGCCTCTTGGGCCGTCTTGAGCCTTAGGAACGCCGAAACGAAGCAAATGCCAAAATCCGTCAAACACCGAAGGACCATGCACGATTTTGGCCTCTTTGGGCCCTCCTGGAGGACCTCTTGGAGGCCTCTTGGGCCGTCTTGGAGGCCTCTTGGGGGCCTCTTGGCCCGTCTTAGGCCATCTGGAGGCCATCTCAGGCCGTCTTGGGTGCATCTTGGGCCGTCTTGGAGGCATCTTTGGGCAATCTTAGCCGTCTTGGAGGCCTCTTGGGGCCCTCTTGGGGCCGTCTTGGGGGCCTCTTGGGCCGTCATGGGGCCATCTTGGAGGCCTCGTAGGCGATCTTGGGGGCCTCTTGAGCCGTCGGAATGCCGAAACGAAGCAAATGCCAAAATCCCTTAAAACACCGAAGGGGCATACATGATTTTGGCCCGAAGAACCTCTTGGAGACCTCTTGGGCCGTCTTGGAGGCCTCTTGGGGGCCTCTTGTGCCGTCTTAGGCCATCTGGAGGCCATCTCAGGCCGTCTTGGGTGCATCTTGGGCCGTCTTGGAGGCATCTTGGGGCGCCTCTTGGGGCCTCCTGGGGGCCTCTTGGGGCGGAAGGCTTGGATTTTCGGTTTGCGTTCCCTCTCTTAGGCCCCTTTTGCGGCCGTCTTGCGGCCCTCTTGGGCCGTCTTGGGCGCCTCTTTGGCCGTCTTGGGGCGCTCTTAGGTCTTCTAGGGCCCTCTTGGAGGCCTCTTGGGCCGTCTTGGGGTGGTCTTGGGGGCCTTGTAGGCCGTCTCGGAGCGTCGGAAAGCAGAAAAGGCGAGAACGCCCAAATCCAGACAATCAATGATTTTTGCCTCTTGGGGCCCTCTTGGGAGGCCTTTTGGATGCCTCTTCGGGCGTCTTGGAGGCCCCTTGGGTCATCCTGAGACCATCTTGGGCGTCTTGGAACGATCTCTCGGTGACCCGGGGCCCTCTTCGACAGTCTTGGGGCCCTCTCGGCTCCGAAAAAGTCACGCGAGAGGATGCGCCAGACCCCAGGGGGCACGTGGGAGACCCAAGACGATTTGGCAATCCGGGCCCCCAAGAGACTCCTCAGGAGTGAGGATGAAGGCTTCGAGGATGAGGCCAAGGACCGAAGAGGCTCCCACTCCATGCCCAGAGGCACGTTGGCTGATCTCTTGAGGGGTTCTCATGGGGGTACTTGGGCCTTCTTGGGGCTGTCTTGGGCTTCTGTGGGGCAGTCTTGGGGGCCCCGTGGGGCCCTCTTCGGTCGTCTTGGAGCTCTCTTGGACCGTCTCGGTACCGTCTTGGGCCTCTCTCGGCCTTCTAGGGGGTCTCTTGGAGCTGTCTTGGGGGTCTCTTGGGCTGCCTTGGGCTGCTCTTGGACCGTGTTGGGGCCCTCTTGGGGCTGCTCCAGGCCGTCTGGCCTGGGGTTTCTCAAGGTCCTTACTGGGCTCTTTTGGATCCCTTTTGGCCCATGTGAGGCCCTCTTGGAACCATCTTGGGTCGAGAGAGCTTATAAGCACACTATATTTGATAGCCAATGGTATTCCGAAGAGTTTTGAATGGTTTCGCCTTCCTGGAAGGCCTCTTGGTCTTCTCCTTGATGTTCTGGCAGCCTCTTGGGACGCCTCTGCCGCCTCTTGGGGTCTTCTTGGGGACTGGTGGATGCTTGTTGAGGCGATGTTGGGCCATCTTAGTGGCTTTGGTGGTCTTCATAAGCCGTCTTGGATGCCGTGGAGAGCTTAGGAGAGCCCCCAAACCTCGGAAGGGTGGGGGATGCACGCGACTGAGCGTGTCGAGACGGGCGGGAGCTTTAGAATGCTGGACTTACAGAAGCCCAACCAGGCAGCCGTTGGCATTACACCCTCGTCAACGTGCCAGGGGACATGATGGCGGATCAAAGGAGTCGTCGAGGAAGGATCACTCCTGCTTGAGTGGGCAAGGGTATTCTGCAGCTTTGGTAAAGGTTCGGCTGGCGTGCTCCAGTACTACGAGGGGCGCGAGTCGCTTGAAGGTGAGCCTTTTCTCAAGCAGCTGCCGAGACAGATGCACGAGCATTTTTCGTTTTGTAGTAATCAGCTAATCGAGAGGCGAGGGTATGCGGTTGCTCAGGCCGAGCGCATCAGCGACATGCAGCCGCTGACGATGCTGACCAGTCATATAGAGCACATGATGGTGTTGTGTCGGGAGGCGTCCGGAGCATGGTCCGATGAGGATTTCTGGGGCGTTCGCTTGGATGTCAACATGCCAGAAAACGCTAACACGCAGTTTCATGACGATGGCTTTGTGAACGTGCGCCTTGTCTCCACTTTTGTCGGCGATGGCCTCATCCTGGCCGACAAGGCGGCGGTGGACTGGAGGACCTACGAGGATGGGCGTCCGGAGCACGTGCGCTGGGAAGCGTGGAACCCAAAGGTCGCGTCCGTGGAGCACATGGCGGCCAAGGGCGACATCGTGCTCATGAGAGGCGGCTCGAGCGGGGCCTCAAGGCCTTGCGTGCACAGGTCGCCATACTCCGCGCGGCGCGATGTTGCGCAGCTGCACATCACGGTCGATCGCATTCCTGGGAAGCAGCGGGGAAAACTTGTCGGATTGCGCGAGGAGGATCAGGGGAGGTAAAGGTACCGATGCCGCTGCTCGTTCTGGAGATCTCTCGTCGCCTCGGCTGGATTCTCCTCGAAGTTCTGGTCAGAACGCACCCCGGGAGAGGTTTGCGGATTAGGGGCATCGGTATTGTTTTCGTTTCCCCCAGAGGAGAAGTTGCCAGTCACCCTGCTGAGTGGATTTCTGGGTGCGGGGAAGACGACGCTCCTCACGCACGTCTTGAACAATCGTGAGGGCAAGCGCGTCGCAGTCCTTGTCAATGACATGGCTTCCATCAACGTCGACGGGCAGTTGCTGAAGGACGGCGTGCAGCTGCATGAGAACAAGGACAAGATGGTCGAGCTGCAGAACGGCTGCATCTGCTGCACTCTGCGGGAGGACCTCATGGATAGCGTCAAGGAGCTGGCGCTCGAGCGGCGCTTCGACTATCTGCTCATCGAGAGCACGGGCATCTCCGAGCCTTTGCCAGTGGCGAGCACCTTCGCTGCTAGAGACGACATGGGCTACCCGAGGATCGGCGGCGTTACCCGACTGGACACCCTGGTCACAGTTGTCGATTGCCTGCACTTCCTGAAGGACTACGAGTGTGGCAGCAAGCTCGAAGACAGGAAGGAGCTGGGCGCGGAGAAGGGGGACGAGCGAACCATCGTCCACCTGCTCGTCGACCAGGTCGAGACCGCGAATGTCCTGATCCTCAACAAGATCGACCTGGTCACCCCGGAGGAGCTGGACTCGCTGAAGGCCATACTGAAGAAGCTCAACCCGGGCGCGCATGTGATCGAGACCAAGTTCGGTGTCACGAGCCCGTCGACGATTCTGAGCACCGGCCGCTTCAACCAGAAGGAGGTCGAGATGCTTCCAGGGTGGGTTCAGGAACTGCAAGGCACTGGAGCGGACCACACGCCCGAGACGGAGGAGTACGGCATATCCAGCTTCATCTATCCAGCTGCCTGCGGCAGGTCCAGGCGCCGTGCCCAGCACCCTGGGTGGCGACTGCTCGGCTGGCGTGCAGGAGAGGCCGTGACGCGTGACGCCTCGTGTCCCGAGGCTGGGGAGAGCCGTGGCTCGTGACGCGCTTTTCGGCGTCGTGCCGGGGGTTCCCTTCTCGTCTTCGTCGCCTTCCTGCTCTTCGTCCATCCTTTCTCGGGCTCATGTGGGGCAGCCCTGGGGGGTACAGGGGGTCACTCTGTCTCGGGGTTTCTTGGGCCGCCGTGAGGCCCTCTTTCTGTTGTCTTGGGGCCCTGCTGGCCGTGCGGGGGATGTCCTGCGGTCGTCGTGGGGCTGTCTTTGGGCCTCCTCGGACCGTCGATGGGGCTCTCTGAGGCCCTCTTGGGTGCCTCTGGAGGCCCTCTTGTGCCAGCTTGGGGCTCTCTTGGGGCCGTCCTGGGCCGTCTGGGAGCTCTCTTAGGCTTTCTTGGGGCCGTCTTCGAGGGCCCTCCTGGGACGTGTTGGGGCCATCTTGGAGGCCTCTAGGGCCGTCTGGAGCTGAAGCAAGTCCGAAACAGTGAAGACGCCACAACTTGTTTGGAACACCTAAGACGGATCAAGAAGTTTGGCCCCTGCGGGCCTTACACTACTGGGGGTCCCCTTGTGGCCATCTCAGGCCGTTTTGGGGACCTTGGGCCATCTTAAAGCCATCTTGGGTCGCCTTGGGGCCATTTTGGGTAGTCTTCGAGGCATCTCGGGCCGCCTTGGCGGCCCAGGTTGCCTGCCTCGGTCGTCTTGAAAATTCGGGAGCTCGGCTTCATGGCTTTTACAAAGAATCGTGGACTCGGGAACGCGGTTCCATCGTTTCTAAGAGGGACCGTGGCCTCGGGAGCGCAGACCCGCAGACTTTTACGAGGCATCGTGACCGCGGGGGAGTGGGCGTACAGTTTGTGCAAAGGAGCGGGGGGGGGGCGCTTGCACGCGCGTGAGTGTGACCGGGAGACGGGAGCTCCGTCAGGAGAGTACAGGAACCCCACCAGGCAGCTCTTGGCAACCTACCACGCCTCAACGGACCAGGGGGCACGGTTTGCGGACTCTGCTGAGCGCCCATTCTACCCGGGTCGATTGGGCAGCCTGGTGAAGAAGGGCGTCGCTTCGTGGGGCGTGCTCCGCTCCAAGGGTGTGGTTTGGTGCAGCAGTGACCATGACTTTGCGAAGCAGTGGAGCCAGGCGGGCTCCTCCATGACGCTGCAGCAGGGCCGGCGCTGGCAGGACAGGCCCAGCGAGGCGAAGTACAAGGATGCCGAAGAATGAGAAAACAGGACAGGCATAAGCTTTCGGAGCGTCGCGCGGATTTCTTGGGCCCGCGCTGGGCCCCCCTCCCCAGGGCGCTCCGCGATCCAGGGGCGGGGCCAGAGGCGCCGCCAGGGCGGCCCCAGCGCCGCGGCGACGTCGAGCTCGACGGCGACGACGACGACGACGACGATGACGACGACGACGACTTACGACGACGAAGGCGACGAAATCCGCGCGGACCTCCGACAGTTTCAGTTCATTCTTTTTTGTTTTTTTCCTCTAGGGCCGTCGCTTTGGGGACTGGCGCCAAGAGCTCGTATTCATCGGCCAGAACATGCGACAGGAGGAGATCCGTCGGGCGCTCGACGGGGCCCTTGTGCCGGAGCAGATTGCGGACAAGCTCGCGGACAAGTTCGTGCTCGGAGCGCCTTCCGGCGAAGAGGGCCCGCACAACGGGGGCGTGACGATCGGCGTCGGCACGGACTCGAGGAAGAGAACACGGCACAATCATACACTTTCTTTTGGAGATTTGCGCGGGCTTCTTGGCTCCGTGGCGGGGCACCCCTTGCGGCGCCTCCAGTGCCGCCCCCGGCGCTCGGAGCGCGCCAGGCAGGGGGGCTCCGCGCGGATCCAAGGAATCCGCGTGGCCCTCCGAAAACTGCATGTGTATGGTTTTTCTCTTCCTGCAGACGTCACTTCCCCGAGCAGGTGCGTTCATCTGCGACCGCAGCCGTCGCGCGTGCGCTTCAATCCCCTTGCCGAGGAGGCTCAGTTTTTGCACGCTAATTCGTCTGCGGGCCATCCATTGGAGTCGCTATGTCGCCTGATGTTCTTGAGAAGAATCTCGGGCCGTAGAGCATTTGAGGGTTTTCTATAGGAGGGGTGTTTCTGCAAGTTTGCGCACAGCGCACAAGGTTGTTTGGACACAGTTTTTGTGCGGGTTTCAGTGTCCGTGCGGCTTCGCCCCTCTCCTCTGCATGCCTACCGCCTCCCCTCCTCCTGCCCTGGCCTCTCCTTCCTTCTCCTCCGCTGGACTTCTGACCCGAGTAGGGTATGTTTTTTTCGTTTGTTCAGCAGGGCAGATTTCAGCGCGTAGTTCGGATTCACTCCGCGCTTCGGTGTGCTAGGCTGCCGGTCTCTGTGCAGGTGGTCCCCCCTGCGGCCAGCACCTGCTCTGCTGATCAACGATCTTTCGCTCAGGAGATCGGGAAAAGCCGCACCTCTGGGAGGGGCAAGGTCGCCGTTGCACATATGCACATACATACATACACACATATACATGTATATACGTTTACACGTGCATACGCGTAGACATCTGCTAGCCAGCGCTGACCCCTAAACAGTTTGTTCTAACGTACGATGTGGTGCCACACACATATATATACACATGTGTGGTGCAATCTATGTGGTGTAAGCTACGTGGTGCAACGTATGTAATGCAATGTAGGTGGTGCAACACCGGTGGTACAATCTATGCGGCGTAAGCTATGTGGTGCAATCTATGTGGTGCGAATCATTTCGAAGACCTTGGAGTTGCCAACTCCACTACTAGCACAGTCATCTTCTCTGCGCGTCTCGCAGGCCGCGCTGACGCGCGGGCACTTCAGCGCGACTCGGTGACTCGGGCGGGCGTGGTATCATGGTCACGTCGTGAATGGCGGGCACGATTATGATAATAACGATGATGGTGGCGATTCTCAGGATGATGCTGCCAATGCCAAAGACAGGGCCGATGCGGGTCACGCCGATGACGATGATAATGTCCACGTGTCGGTGATTATGGCTTCGGAATGAATTCGACATGCGTGCGCGGCTGGCGCGCTCGAGTGACCCGAATAGTACCACTTGACTGGGACCGTGCCCCCCCCCCCAGCAAACGCGCAGGGGCGTTCGAATGATTTCGCCATGCGCGCGCGCGGGGGGGGGGCGCATGGTTTAATTTTATGGAAATGTTGAAACAGCTGTGCCTTTTTTTGCGATTTCGCAAGAGCGCTCGCGCAGATCGTCTTGAGAGTACATGTTGCAAACTCGTTGGTTTTTGGTATGCGCTTGGGGGCTTCGACCTTGAAACCGCTATGGGACCAACGGTTTTGTACAACGGATTTCGGCAAGCGCGCTCGACGCTGCGCGCGTGTCGATGCTGTCCAACGTTTTGTAAATGGGGGTTCTTGAAACCTAGCGATTTTTGATGAATGGGTGTGCGTGCGTAGCATTATTCGACAGGGATGAAGGGGGGCGGTCGATAACGGGCCTGCCCAGGATGGTCTGAATCCATTTCTTAAAGGAACGATGCGGCAGAGGCGTATGTGAATTGCACGATCACAGGGGGGGGAAATTCCGGGGGCGGGGGGGTATCATCTTTTTATACGAGAGACTCTATGTGGTGCAATATTTGTGGTGCGGTTTCTTTGGTACAATCGATGTGGCGCAAGCTCTGTGGTGCAGTAAATGTGGTGCAGCGAGAAACCGCAGACCTCCTCACCCCCCCTCCTCCTTCATCTCCCCTGTCTTCTATGCTATGCTGTGCAAAGCAATGCCCAGCAATGCCATGCATAGAGCAATGCAAACCAATGGAACGCAGTGAGAACCAGTGCCAAGCAATGTCAAGCAATGCGAAGCAATACCAAGCAATGCCAACCAATGCGATTGGAAAAGCCGTAGCGCAATTCAGAGTAATGCGAAGCAGTGCAAATCAATGAAAATTCAGTGCAGCTCAAAGCACATACATACTTACACATACATGCAATGCAATGCAGAGTAACGCAACGCAATGCCAAGTAACGCAGGCCCAGACGGCGACGGGGCGGCGACGGCAACCACATAGCTGCCAGACCGACGGGCAGGTCCAGAGCGACGGGGCGGCGACGGCGACCACATAGCCGCCGGATCGACAGGCAGGCCCAGAAGACGGGCGGCGACGAGGCGGCGACGGGGCGTCGACGGCGACCACATCGCCGCCATGCTGACGGGCAGGCTCAGTTCCTTACAAACGAAGCAAGGCCCCCTAAGTGAAGGCACCTCTTGGGGAATATACATTTGCATGTGTACATATGTATACGTACGTATACATATACACATACACACACCTATATCTATATATATATATATATATATAGATATGTGTATATGTATGTGTATATGTATATGTATATGTATATGTATATGTAGATGTATATGTATATGTATATGTATATGTATATATATACAGGTAAATACACGCACCTACATTCTCCGAGTCGAGCCCCAGGATCTCGAGGACCTCTTGCGGAGTGGTGGAAGTGGACGCCTGCCCGTTCCCGAGGACGGGAGAGTGTACGCTCACCCGCTGCTCCCCTGGGGACCCAGGCCAGGACCGCAGCAGCAGTGGACGCAGATGCCCCGCGTGGGGGGGAGCGGCGGCAATTTTTTTTGAGGGGGGCCGAACGGTGCACTTTTCGGGCCCCCTGTGGGGCCCCGAAGGGCCCCTTCAGGAGCCCCCTTGTCTGCAGCTCTTATCCCCGCCTCGGGGGCGAGCTAAATGGGCTAAATGCAAAGCGACCCAGGGCCGTCGGGAGAGGTGGCTGCACGCCAGTCGTCAGGCAATGAAACAGAGTGGACCCCTGGCGGTGCAGACCACTGGTGTGCCGCGTGAGTCTCCTCGCGCCGCTCCAGGCCCGCCAGTCGTCGTGGGTGGCCCGCGCGGCGCGCCGCCCTGCGGCCCTGCCGTCGATCCGACACCGCCGAGCCGACGGCGACAACGACGACGACGACGACGACGGCGACGAAGGCGACGACGAAGGCGACGACGACGGAGACGACGACAGCGACGACGCCGAAGGCGACGACGACGACGACGAGGACGAAGACGACGAAGACGACGACGACGGAGACGACGACAGCGACCACGCCGATGAAGAGGACGACAATGACGGCGACGACAACGACGACGACGAAGACGACGACAACGAAGACGAAGACGACGACGACGAAGACGAAGACTAGACGAAAACGACGACGACGACCATAACGACGACGACGACGGACATCAAAGGCGACCGACGACGATGACGGAACACCCACGACGACGACGATGGAATACCTACGACGACGAGGACGACAGCGACGGACCGCGACGGCGACCGATGACGACGACGAAGACGAAGACGACGACGAAAACGACGACGACAAAGGCGACGACGACGAAGACGACGACAGCGACGACGCCGACGACGATGACGACGAACACAAAGACGAAGATGAAGACGAGGACGACGACGATGAGGTCGGCGACGACGACGACTTCGTCGACGACGGCGACGAGGGCGACGACAACGACTACGACGACGAAGACGAAGACAATGACGACGGCGGCGACGACGACGACAACGACGACGACGAAGACCAAGACGAAGACGACGACGACGACGAAAACGACGACGACGACTTCGACGACGAAGACGACGACGACGGCGACGACAACGACGACGAGGACGACGACGAAGACGAAGACGAAGACGACGACGACGAGGACGGCGACGACGACGACAACGACGACGACGCTCAGGGCGACGACTGACGAAGGCGAAGCCGAGGACGACAACGACATCGACGACGACGACTTCGACGACGACGACAAGGACGACGACGACGAAGACCACGACGACGGCGACGACGACGACGAGGACGGCGACGACGAGGAGGAAGACGAAGACGACGAGGACGACGAGGACGACGAAGACGACGACGATGGCGAGCGACGACGACGACGACGACGAGGACGACGAAGACGACGAAGACGACGACAACGAAGACGAGGACGAAGACGAGGATGACGACGACGAAGACGTCGACGACGACGACAACGAAGACGAAGACGACGACGACGACCACGGACATCGAAGGCGACCGACGACGACGGAAATCCCACGACGACGATGATGAAAGACCTACGACGACGACGAGGACGACGACGACGGACCGCGACGGCGACCGATGACGACGACGAAGACGAAGACGACGACGAAGACGACGACGATTGCGACGACGACGACGACGGACGACTGACGACCTTAACTGCCCTGATGCGCCAATTTCGAGACGCAGCATGTACCGTGTTCAAAACGTAAGTGTTAACACGCTGCGCGTCGGGTCGGCACCTGTTGGGCCACGTTAAGTTTTGGCGTACGTATTGCGCCAGACCTACGTGTTCAGTCGACACGCCACGGGTTGCGTGCTGCGTACCGGTGCAGCTCAGCCGACGACTGACGACGACAGATGGCCGACGACCGACGAGCGGGCGTCTTGAAGCAGCCGGGACGGCCTGCTTCACGAGGCCTCTGGAGGCCCGCTCTTAGCCGCAGGACGGGCAGAGGGGCCGCCGGCGCGAGCTCGCTGCGAGCGTCGGCGCCGAGAGCTCTAACGATGTGACTCCCTGGCTGCGTTTCGCGAGAGGGTTCCGGCAGAGGTGGGAACGGACCACAGAAGATTGTCGCAGGGGGGAGCGGGGAGCCCGAGACCGCCCGGTCGAGATCGCCCGATCCCGCAGCCATTTCGCCCGAAACTTCCTCGCGATGTGTGCAGGAGCCGTGGTCTCGCCTCAATGCAGGCTGCATTATTGTTCGCAGACGGCCACGATCCCGAGTGAAAAAGGCATGCTAAAGTGCGCATGACGGTGTGCTTCCTATCTCCATATACATTCACTCTTATAGTAATATATATATATATATACAGATGTCTGTCTGTCTGTCTGTCTGTCTGTCTGTCTGTCTGTCTGTCTATATGTATGTATATGTATGTATGTATGCATGTACGTACGTACGTACGTACGTATGTATGTATATATATATAGGTATGTATGTGTGTATGTGTGTATGTGTGTATGTGTGTATGTGTGTATGT